CTATTTGATAATTTATTATCTATTTAGAAATAATTGTTTTGGGCTATCGGTGGAGGATAGTCTTGATTGTTGTACATATTGCATGATGATTAGGTGAATTAAAACTAATCAATTGAGTATGTTGTTGAATATGACAGATGGAATAACACATTGAATATGTGCTTTGCTTGATCATTGTATATGATAAGTGTTCAAATACATTGCATATATATCTTGTTGGGAGGAGATAGTGGATGTACTCTGTGGTTTGATAGGAGATAGGGGATGTACTCTCAAACCTGTTTGGGAGGAGATAGGGGTTGGACTCCATGGATAACTAAGTTGGCCGGAGTGTCCAGGGTGAAAGTCCCGAAATCTTGATTACGTTTGCGTAACGTAGATGAATTGAAGTGTTGAAGTGTTAGTGATATGAGTTGTAGTATCATTTTAAATTGAAGTGTTGAAGTGTTAATGATGTGAGTTGTAGTCTCATATTAATTGGCCATGATCGAAGTATTGTTAATATAAGTTGTAGTCTCATTATAAAATGTTTGAATGAACAGAGAACTATATCTATGAATTGGATTGTTTATGAAAGAGATGTACATTTGTGTATGTGAGTTAAACATTTATCAAATGCAAATGTTTTAGTTATTGCTCATATTTGGTTTAGCGTATCTCTACTGGGCTTTGGCTCACCCTTTATGGGACATCATTTTTAGGTACAAGTGATATGTCGCCTCCAAGGATGTACCTTCGTAGGTTTTAGAAGCTGAAGGCTTACTTTTTTGTAGTTATCTATTTGTATTACATGTAAATTCAAGCCAAGGGCTTAATGTGTTTTGAGTTAGAACTCTCATTTTTTTGTAACCAAGTGTTGACTTGGAAAATTGTAAGTCCGTAGGGCATTTACTTTTGTTGTCAACATGTAATACATTTGTAATGAATACTCTGATACATGGAAATATGCTTCATTCTCTTATGTCTATCGATGTCATGAATGTTGGGTTTATATGTATTATTTTTTAGGGCATTACATCCTATGTGTAACCATAATACATATATATGCACACATAGTATATGTTTTTTCAATGTGCAGATATAATTTATTTTAATAATCAATTTATTTTCTTGTTTTATTTTTTATTTAGTTTGTGAGTGTTCATCAAATATGAATTGAACAAAAAAACGACTCCTTCTCTCTTTTTTCCAGGGAGGAGTCATCATCCGCCCAATGGTAACATGGATTTTTCAACTATCAAAAATTTAAAATGAAAAATGAAAAAAAAAAAAAAAATTGAAAACTTTTTCAACTTTATAAGTGTAAACTGTGCAATACATAAATAATCAGTAACTATATAATTTGTTTCAAAATTTCTCACAAAATGTTTAGTTTCAGTTTTCAAAATTTATTTTTTAGAAAGTTTCACTTTTTCATTTTCTGTATTTTTTTTGTTTTCACTGAATTTTTTTAATATTTTAAGCAAGTTTTTTAATTTTTAGACACACCTAACATAAATACACTTAAAAATGATAATATATGTGAACAAAAATCTTTAAAAAAATTCACTAAATACCAAAAATACAAAAATTCAAATCCAGTACATTTTTCATATTTTTGTATATTTTTTAATTTTTAGAATATTTTTCTTACAAATATTTTACTATTTAGATACATCTAAGAAAGTAAAAAAAAATAATTGCTTAAAATTTTAAAAATATTCACTAAAAAAAAACTCGAAAAATCAAAAATTAATTTTCAAAAAACTAAATTCAGAAAATTGAAACAAAAGACACTAATGATTTTTTTTTTCTTTTTTTATAGTCAAAACTTTGCAGAGAAATTTTGTGACCATTTAAATAATAGTGCAGGCTGTACACTTCAGCGGATGTAACAATCTTCAACTTAGTGGATTGCACTCTGTTAACCCCCCAAGAAATCATATTACAATAAATAATTGTAAAAATGTAATCATCTCTCATATTAATTTAAATGCACCGAGGAATAGTCCTAACACGGATGGAGTTGACATTTCTGGGTGTAGCCAAATTCAAATCCATGACTCAAACATCGCAACTGGTAAATAACTTGTCTTAACCATTTTCGTGTTGTTATTATTGTTGTTATTGTTATTAAATTGTAACGGGCTAATTTTAGTGAACTATTACATAAATAGGTGACGACTGCATTTCTATTCGTGGTAATTCCTCCCTTATAAACATAACTTGCATGGTTTTAAAAACCGGACCGGACCGGCCGGTTCAACCGGTTGAACCGCCGACCTGTCGAGGTTCCGGTCCGGATACACCCATAGAACCGGTCACAGTGAAAAACCGGCCTATTTTGGGAGAACCGGGAAAACCAGCGGTCGGACCGGCGAACCGGTCGACCCGGTTCTGGTTCACCGGGTTGATAAAAACGAACTTTTTGTATTTTTTTGTATTTTTTTTATTCTTTCTTTCTTTTCTTTCTCTTTCTTATATTATATATATATTATATATATATAAAATAAAAATTTAATTGGAAACTCTCTTTTAAGGGTCTCCTCTTGTGAGGAATCCCATTGAGAGTCTGTGAGCGTTTCAATATCTCATACTGAATTTCTTGATTTTTTTTTTAAATTTTAAACAATTAGAAAAATATCCATAAACTAGCTTCCATTTAACCATATAAAAATAAAATTCTAATTAGTACATGATTTATGTTTTTTAAAAAGGAAAATATACTAATGCTTTTCAAAATATATATTGTTTTGCTTTTAACTATGGGAAGCAATTCATCAGAATAAGAAAATAAAGATGTCCAATTTCGAATATTCAAAGATTGACTTCTTATGTGCATATATTTTTATCTTTTCATAATTAGTTCAGGATTTATAATTTTTAAAAGGAAAATGTGCCACTGCTTTTAAAAATACATTTTTGTTTTACTTTGAAATATAGGAAGCAATTTGCTAGAATAAGAAAATAAAGATGTCAAATTTTAAACATTCAAAAATTGGCTTCTTATGCACATATATTTCTATCTTTTGAGACACATAAATTTTCTTTACAATAAATTTTCAAATCTCTTATTCTCACACAAAAGAAAAAAAAAAACTTACAAATTGCAAAAATCTTGTGTTAGACAAAAAATTAAAAATAATAAAAATATTTTAGAAAATTTTATCTGTATTTATATCTATCTGTAACAAAAAGCCACAGTTTCAAAATCTCATGTCTAATTTCTTTATTTTTTTAATTTTAAAAAATTCTATTAGGTAATTATTCCATGATTTATGGCTTTCAAACAGAGAATATACTAAACTATTTTAAAAGTAAATTAAAAAGAGAACACTTTTATCATAAATCTCATAATTTACGGTGAAATTTTTTATTGTAGCCTCTTTGAGAAGGCTCCGTTTGGTAAGCAATTCAAATTATAGTTTCACCCGTTGATTTGAGTGTGTTGTTTGTTTTGAGCTTTCAAATCATAATTCTATACCCATTTCTCAAAACTCAATTCAAAACATAATCATTACTTTTAAAAAATCATAACCAAACACATAATTCAAAACTCAATGCAAATCAATATTTTAATTTTGTTAAGATTTTAAATATTTTAATATTTAAATATGTTACGATTTTTTTAATTTTTTGAATATTTTTAAATATTACAATTTTAATTTTTTAAATTTTAAAATATTTTATAAAAATAAATTCAAACTCTATTTTATAAAAATATTTTTAAATATTTTAATTTTTTTGTTATGTATTTGGTTACGATTTGAGTGTAGAGTTGTGAAAGTAGTATGGAGTTTCGAGTTATGTGTTTGGTTATGAGTTTTAAAAATAATTTTTTAATTGAATTTTGTTTTATGTGTTTGGTTACGATTTGAGTGTAGAGTTATTTTTAAATTTAAAATATTAAAATTTTAAATTATTTTAATTTTTTAAATATTTAAATTATTTAAATTTTTACGATTTAAAATTTTTGAATATTTATTTTAATTTTTTACTCTTAAATTTAAAATATTAACATTTTCAATTATTTAAATTTTTTGAATATTTATTTAAATTTTTTACTTATTAAATTTTTTAGATTATTTAACTTATTTAAATATTTATGATTTAAAATTTTTGAATATTTGTTTTGAAAAAAAAAATTATTTCCTTTGTAGTATTTTCAATTAAAAAATTGATTAATATTACTTTATGTTAATAATAAATTTTTTTAATTGAATTTTAAAAAGAGTTTGGTTATTATCTTTATCAAAGTAACTAAATGTTTAGTCAAATTGTAGCTAAAAACCTAGTTTTCTATTTTAGCTAACCTTATTTTTCTTGTCATGCTCCAACAAACTCTCCATTTCTTTCTCCATTCAATTTAAATATTCCTTATTTATTTTTTCAGAAAAATTATATTTTTCAAATGGACACTTAACAGCCATATTTTTTAAATAGAAACTTTTGTAATAACGGTAATATTTTCAAATAGGTACTTTTGCAACGGCCATATTTTTTAAATAGAAACTTCTATAACGGTCATATTTTCAAATGAATATTTTTGCAACGGTTATATTTTTGAAATAGATACTTTTCTAACAGTCATATTTTTTCAATATAAATAAGATCATTCCTCTTTAATTTTCATCTACCTCATCCAGTTTTCTTCAACATTAAGTGTTTATTTTCTCACTATGCGTCGCAATTCTGTACACAATATGATTCTTAATGAGTCAGACTCTAATAATGAGATAGAGATAGTTACAGTAGTCAAAATGGAGGAAGAATCAACATCACACCATGGTTCTATACAACGCTGTCTATTCATTAGGCGTAATACTTTAGAAGGCCACCAAAGGCTTTTTCTCGACTATTTTGCTGAATCACCAATATATCCTCCCAATGTATTTTGAAGAAGGTTTCGAATGAATCATTCACTTTTTCTCTGTATTCATTCCACACTAAAAGCTCATGAACCATATTTTGTTCAAAAAAGAAATGGTGCTCGAGTGCTTGGTTTGTCCTCCTATCAAAAGATGACTGCTACACTTAGAATGCTCGCTTATGGAGTAGAGGCTGATTTTGTGGATGAATATGCAAGGATTGGAGAAAGTACTGCAATGAAAAGGTTAAAAAAAATTGTTAAAGCAGTGGTTACAATTTTTTCTGATGAGTATTTGAGATCACCAAACAAAAATGACATTGCTAGATTGCTAACAATTGGCCAAAGTCATGGATTCCCTGGGATGTTGGGGAGCATTGATTGTATGCATTGGAAATGGAAGAATTGTCCAACTGCATGGAAAGGTATGTATTCTGGTCATATTCATGAACCTACAATTATTTCAGAAGTAGTAGCATCATATGATCTTTGGATATGTCATGCATTTTTTGGGTTACCGGGGTCTCATAATGACATCAACGTGTTAGAACGATCTTCTGTATTTACCAAGCTTGCTGAAGGGCGTACTCCTTCTGTCAATTACTCAATCAATGGTAATGATTAAACAATGGGATACTATCTAGCAGATGGTATATACCCATAGTGGTCAACATTTGTCAAAACAATTCCATCTCCACAAGGAAATAAGAGAAAGCATTTTGCTGCAGCTCAAGTCGGCAAGGAAAGATGTAGAACGTGCTTTTGAATTGAAACTTTTGTAATAACGGTCATATTTTCAAATGAATATTTTTGCAACGGTTATATTTTTGAAATAGATACTTTTCTAACGGTCATATTTTTTCAATATAAATAAGATCATTCCTCTTTAATTTTCATCTACCTCAACCAGTTTTCTTTAACATTAAGTGTTTATTTTTTCACTATGCGTCGCAATTCTGTACACAATATGATTCTTAATGAGTCGGACTCTAATAATGAGATAGAGATAGTTACAGTAGTCAAAATGGAGGAAGAATCAAGATCACGTCGTGGTTCTATACAACGTCGTCTATTCATTAGGCGTAATACTTTAGAAGGCCACCAAAGGCTTTTTCTCGACTATTTTGCTGAATCACCAATATATCCTCCCAATGTATTTCGAAGAAGGTTTCGAATGAATCGTTCACTTTTTCTTTGTATTCATTCCACACTAAAAGCTCATGAACCATATTTTGTTCAAAAAAGAAATGGTGCTCGAGTCCTTGGTTTGTCCTCCTATCAAAAGATGACTGCTACACTTAGAATGCTCGCTTATGGAGTAGTGGCTGATTTTATGGATGAATATGTAAGGATTGGAGAAAGTACTGCAATGAAAAGGTTAAAAAAAATTGTTAAAGCAGTGGTTACAATTTTTTCTGATGAGTATTTGAGATCACCAAACGAAAATGACATTGCTAGATTGCTAACAATTGGCCAAAGTCATGGATTCCCTGGGATGTTGGGGAGCATTGATTGTATGCATTGGAAATGGAAGAATTGTCCAACTGCATGGAAAGGTATGTATTCTGGTCATAATCATGAACCTACAATTATTTCAGAAGCAGTAGCATCATATGATCTTTGGATATGCCATGCATTTTTTGGGTTACCGGGGTCTCATAATGACATCAACGTGTAAGAACGATCTTCTGTATTTACCAAGCTTGCTGAAGGGCGTACTCCTTCTGTCAATTACTCAATCAATGGTAATGATTAAACAATGGGATACTATCTAGCAGATGGTATATACCCACAGTGGTCAACATTTGTCAAAACAATTCCATCTCCACAAGGAAATAAGAGAAAGCATTTTGCTGCAGCTCAAGTCGGCAAGGAAAGATGTAGAACGTGCTTTTGTAGTTCTTCAAGCACGATTTGCAATTGTACGTGGACCTGCATGTTCTTGGGAACGTGAAACACTTAAGAACATTATGAAGGCATGCATAATACTGCATAACATGATTGTTGAGGATGAGCGAGATGTTAATGAAGCAGAAGACTACGACTATGAACAAACCGATGAAAATCCCCATGTATCTGTTTCACATGACCAAACAACTGAACTTATGGAATTCATTCGACGCCATCATCGCATTAGAGATAGAGAAACTCATTCTCAACTACAATCGGACCTCGTCGAGCACTTGTGGAAACTACATAGTCAATCATAGCAACTAGTAATTTTAAATTTCGTGGTCACATGATGAAAACTCATTAGTCTTGATTGTAATTTGAAATTTTCCAAGCATTAATAGCTACATAATTTTTCTGTCAATATTCTTTAGAATTTTTACATAAGGAGACTATAAACTTCAATTGCAAATTTAAGATCTGATGCATGCCCTGCAATTGCAAATTTGCAACCAAAGCCTGTCTCATGAAGGATTACATAAAAATACAACGGGTGTAAATTTAATATAATGCATAAGATGAGTCCTCTACAAAATTATTTAACAGCTAAAAACTCTCGAAGCAGCTACAAATGGTAAAAACAATCAATCAGGCAGTTGTCCCTACAGGCTTAACTCATCATCATAGTCATCATTCAGTTGTTAGCAACAACACCATCTGCTAAATCTAATAAACACAAAGTGCTCATACTGATATCTCATTCCATTAGAACGGATTTATGTGTCATCAAAATAAATACTAACAAATAAGTAACTCAAAAAGTTATACAATATTACAAACTTCCATGAAGCATCAGAAAATGTTTTAGAGGAACAGTCAGTGCAAAGCTTGGAAGGCAAATGTAACGCAGGACTTCAATTCTTCTGGCTTTTTAAGCATTTCAGTCATTAAAGATATCAATTAGTTGATCAATTACTCAAAATCTCCAAACAATATAATAGTTTTCTATAGGCTTCTGATATTTGCTAAAAGAAAAAAGAAAAAGAAAAAGAAAAAGAAATTATATATGAAAACCAAAAAACTGTCAACCAATGACCTCCCATCACATGGCTCCATGTAAAAATCAGATACAGCCACCCAACTGCCAAAAACCAAAATAGACAGATAAATATGTCAATCAATAATTTTTTTAAGCAATAAATTCAGTAGAAAAAAACATTAACCAAGAATTGAAGCTTCAATGTCAACTGCAATATTTATCACTACTAACTGTATTAGTTCGCAACAAGTTATTTTCCACATATTGAACAACCAAGCTTGTGGTACAAAGGAAAAGAATACAGTCCTCATTTATGCATTAATAAGACATTCTTATTTATGCTATGATTATTAACCTGATAGGATTACATTTGATTACAAATTATGGACAAATAGTCCCCGACTATCATGTCCATGTCCAAAAGAATAGCCAACTCACAACAACATTGTTCAACAGAATCTATCTTCTTAATGCATAACAAATAGACAGTAGAGGAAGATGAAACAGTAGAGGAAAATGAAACAAAATCTGTCCAGCAGAATCTGTTATTTACCTTATTCAACAGAATCTGTCCAGCATTGATCTGTTATAAACATTGTTCAACAGAATCTGTCCAGCAGCAGATCAAATAGACAGTAAAGGAAGATGAAACAGAATCTGAAGCAGAGCAGCAGCAATCTATATAAAATTGGTTCATGGAATTGCTGTTATTTACCTTGTTGCTCTCACTACTTTGCTCTTTCAGGTCAGTTTAATTTCGGAACATAATCTATATAAAAATAATATATAGCATTTACAGAAGGAGTTACATATAAAAGACACTATAAACTTGTATACAGATAAATTTTATATGGATTGGAGCTTCGATTTGAATTCTTCCCGCATGGAAGCCTTAATAGACCACAAAAAATGTCCAACTTCAACCAACGAACAAATAGTCACCAAAAATAAACCTAGGTACACCAAGATACTTATATAATCTAGAATATAGATGCCCCTAAGCAGTCATTTATTCATTTTCATAGCAAGGTAAATCAATACTTAAAAAAAATGCACTGAACCATGGCATTGTTCAACAAAAACATGATATGTTTACGTAGAAAAATATATTCCAATAAAAACTAACTATTTAGTACTCCTTTGACTTCCAAGAATTTCCATTTGGCAGTGAAGATAATATTGTTGTTGCGTTGGAGACAAACCATTTGTATCCATCATTATAATTCTCTCCTCTTCTTTCAATTGTTCTGCTCGAATCTTTTCTTGTTTAATACGAAATTGCTCTTGGATTTCCTCTTTCATAATTCGAATTCTCTTTGGCTCAAGCTCTTGGTTAATACGATTCTACTCTTGCTCTTAAAGACATGCTTTCTCAAGGATTTCCATTTTCTTGTCATTTGCTTTCTTTTTGTCTTCCATTATCCCACTCAATATCCCTGCATAATTTGAACCAGTTGAATCTTTAATCTTTCGTTTATTCAACCACTCTTTTTCAGCCTTCCTACCTAGTGGCCTCTCCAAGTCTACATAAGCATCATGTGAGACATCATCCTTTGCTAGATTTATCGCCTCTGGAGCAAAAGGAGAAGATGTTGCTGATGTTTTTTTTTTTTTCCGATTTTTTCTTCTCACATTCCTCTAACCATTTTGGTTGGTACCTCAACACATTCCAACAATGTTCAAAAGGAAACGATGCTTTTTGGAATTCCTGATACATAAGTTTGGCCTTGCCAATCTGAAAAATTAAATGAATAAAGACTAATTAGCATCTTCAAACAAAATGACAATTATATCTAATTTAACGGTGTGTACACAATGTATACCTTGTCTTGCTCATTTACTCCACGTTGATGCATTGATTCAATTTGAGCAAAGAACCCACAAAACTTATTGGTTCCAAATTGAATAGTTGACCACCGATTCATTAAAGAATTCTGATTACGTTAAGAAGTAAAAGTCTTGTACTTGTGGAAATACTCACAAACTCTATTCCAATATGTCTTGTGCTTCTGCTCATTTCTGTGTATTGCATCCAAACTTATATTGAACCATGCCGATACAAGGAGATTGTCTTCTTCTGTAACGCCCTCAAAATAATACATATAACCCACATTCTTGACATGCATAATCATAAGAGAATAAAACATATTTCCATTCATCAGAGTATTCATCACAAAAGTATTACATGTTGACAACAAAAGTAAATGCCCTACGGGCTTACAACTTTCCAAGTCAACACTTGGGTACAACAAAAGAAGAGTTCTAACTCTTCATATAAAATAAGCCCTTGGCTTGAATTTACATGTAATACCAAAAAGAGAACAACAAAAGGTCTATCAGCCTCAAGCCTCCCAAGCTACGTCCTTGGAGGTGGCATGCCACTTGAACCTGAAAATGATGTCCCATATAGGGTGAGCCAATGCCCAGTAGAGATATACTAAACCAATTATGAGAAATGACTAAGACATTAGCATTTGATGAATGGCTAACACTTGTAAATCAATTTACTATACAATCTAGTTTCATGACAAATATGTCTATGTTTCATTCCACTTTCCTTTACTTTACAACTTTGATTCATAAACATGGCTCAGAACCTGGCCAAACAATTAAATGAGACTATAACTCATATTAAACCACTTCCGTTATTCACAATTCAAATGAGACTACAACTCATGTCGAAAACACTTCCAATACTTCAATTATCTACGTTATGCAAACGCAATTAGAATTTCGGGACTTTCACCCTGGACACTCCAGCCAACTTAATTATCAATGGACTCCATCCCCTATCTCCTCTCAAACCATGGAGTACATCCCCTATCTCCTCCCAAACAATATACATATACAATGTATTTAACAAATATCATATACAATGATCAATCAATACACATATTCGATGTATTATTCCAACCGTCATATTCAATGTGATTAGTTTCAGTTTTCCCTAATCAACATACGATGTCTACAACAATCAAGACTATCCTCCACCGATAGCCTAAAGTAGTTATCTCTAAACAGATAACAAATTTATCAAACAGATATAATATCAACATTTTCATAAGTGAGTGATTACTTTATCCAACCACACCATTCAATCTCATAATTTCCCAATTTCATGGTTTCCAGCTCAATTTCATATTACCCGAAATTAATTATACAAATTAATTTATCACATTAATTAGGGCATTTCCCCCATCTTTCCAATAGCAACCCTAAGGTTCAATTTCATCAATTAAACAACAATAATACCATTTTCCAAGACCTCTCATACACATGGAGTTTAACATTTGAAAAACTCCTTTTTAAAACTCTAAAACAAACCTTCACTTCCCCAAAATCACCATACAACCCCATCTATCCAAAGTACACAATATTTATGTCAAAACTCATAGAGAGGAGTAGGTTATCCCTACTTCAAAACAAGAGACCAAATTGAGAAGATGAAGAAAACCCAAGATGCTCCAAATCTACAAATTTTCGAATTGAAATGTAGCCCACACTAAGCTCCACACTTTTAACAAAAGGACTAGGGTAGAATCACACTAGAACTAGATGGACTTGTAGAGAGAAGTGGTGGTTCAGAGAGAGAGGCAGTCGTTCTAGGGTTTGAGAGACAAAAACCGATGAAAAAGTGAAGTGTAACCCGCTGCTGCCAACTGATATATTCGAGGCTCGCTCGAGCAAAGGAGTGGTCGCTCGAGCGACCAGACACAAAGTAACCTCGCTTGAGCGCACAAAGCCTCGCTCAAGCCAGCAATTTGAAGCTTTAGGTCTGCAACCCAGAAGCACACTCGAGCGAAGAAACCCAAAACATAGAGCTCGCTCGCTCGAGCGAAGGAAAGCTCGCTTGAGCCAAGAAATGCAACTCTCAAGTCCAGAACCAGATGCAGACGCAAGCTCGAGCGCAAGACTTCTCACTCGAGCCACCAAACACAACACTCAACTCTCGCTCAAGTGAAGGAACCCTGGCTTGAGCGAAGGAACTAAAACACAGAGCTCGCTCGAGTGACAAAAGTGTCGCTCGAGCGAAGACACAAAAATCTGGGCAGCAACCATTTGTTCCCAATCATAACCAACCTGTTACAAACCTGCCCAACACATCCTAAAACTCAAATATAAGGAATTGAATGATGGAAACAAGATACATACCACAACCAACAGCACGGAACCTAAGTCCGGAATACAACAACCAAAGGAGAGAAAAACGGGATCGCTATAACCTCCTCCCTTAAAGAATTTCGTCCCTGAAATTAGATACAAGTTTTAAAAACATGATTT